ATCGACACCGATTACCGTTCGATTACGAAAACTATTCGCGATTCTTCACGCGCCACGTGCCTTGCTCGCACGCGGTTTCACACAATGGCCGAACTCTGACCACGTGCACTATTTCGCACAATCAAAATTAAATTTTACGTAGTGGAAACGGCCTGGGCCCATAACCTGATGAGGTAATTAATTTTATTAATGTTAATAGCAGAGTAAAATAAATGTTACGTAGTTTGATAATAACGAAATTAAACGGTGTGTCTTCTTATCGAACAAAAAAGGAACTTATGGAACTAGAAACAGTCTTTCTTCTCAGGACTCAGTTCGTGAAAACGGTTCGAGACCGGGACGAGAACTGAGACCCCTTTTGGCAAAGGCTAACCACATGGGGTGTAAGATACGCAACTATCATTTACTTAAAAGTACCCGGTGACTAACCACAGTCGATAACTGCGTATTACGAATGCGACGACAACTTATGTATTCACCTTAACACATCCTACATTATGATAATGCGTTCACCTGCGCGGTAACGTCACGAAAACAGGAAGCAAAACGTTTAGGAGTTCCACGAAGCGACGATGAGTTAGACAAGATGATTAAAAAGTATTTCGATATTGACGGATAAGCTCTCGTGTTAAAGCCAATCGCGAAGATCGTAGGGCGATGGAAATTCTAGGTTCGAGTAGTTTTCACAACGGAAAGGAATGGGAAGTTAGATTATTGTGGAAAGACGACGACGAAATATTTGACGATGCTCGTGCTGTGGCTCTCCACCGTCTCCTTTCGCAAGAAAAACGAATTGATCGCGACGCGACGTACGGAAGTTTATATTACAAAGAAATGGAAAGATTTTTCCAAAAAGGATACGCGAAGATGGCAGTCAATGAGCCAGTGGGAAAAAGGGTTAGGTATTTGTCACATTTCGGAGTACAGAATATAAATAAACCTGGCAAAGTACGGATAGTTTACGATTCAGCTGCGGAGTCTAAAGGGAAGAGCTTTAATAGTTTCTTGTTAGCGGACCCAGACCTCTTAAAATCATTGTTAGGAGTGCTGATGCGTTTCAGGCAGTTTGCCTACGCGATCAAAGCGGACATACGCGATATGTTTTTGAAAATTAAAATCAGTGAAGAAGACCAAGATGCGCAGCGTTTTCTATGGAGAGGCGCAAATCGGACGGACGAACCGAAAGAATGTATATTCATATCAGTTTTGTTTGGTGCGAAGTCGTCGCCCTGCACAGCAATTTACATTAAGAATAAAAACGCGTCACAGTATTTATCGCATTTTCCCGCGACTGCAAATAGTTTGATGGAGAATTGCTACATGGATGACTTCTTAGATAGTTGCGAAACGATTACCGAAGCCGCGGAACGGGTTGAGCAAGCTATAACCATCAATGAGTTCGCGAATTGGGAGATGCACGGCTGGGCCAGCAACGCGCCGGAAGTCCTAGAAAATCGGAAAATTGATGACAATGCGGGTACTTTAGTGAAAGAGGATGTGAACAAGCTTAACAGCGAGAAAATTCTCGGGTTGAAGTGGGCAAATTCGTCGGTCGAGTTAATGTTCAACTGTAATCAAAAGAAAATTACGGACGATTTTTATAGTGGACAGAAAAGGCCAACAAAACGTGGATTCCTAGGAGTCATAATGTCAGTTTTCGACCCGCTTGTATTCCTTACACCTTTCACTATACAATCGCAAATATTGATGCAGAATATCTGGTCCAGCAGGATAGGTTGGGATGAGGCCTTGCGCGATGAGGAGTTCGAACACTGGCGGCAGTGGTTACGCGATTTAGAAAAAGTAAAGATTTGCAGTATTCCTCGGTGTTATCAAAATTATGATTGTCAAGTTAGGGAAGCAGAATTACATGTTTTCTGCGACGCGAGTACTAAGGCCTACGCAGCTGTAGCTTATTGGAGATTCATCCTAACCAATGATTCATTTCATGTTGCTATTATCATGGCGAAGAGTCGAGTACCACCTTTAAAGCCGTCCACGATACCGCGATTTGAGTTGCAAGCGGCACTTGTAGCGACGAGGTTAGCTAAGACAATCGAAAAGGAACACGATTTCAAAATTAAACGCAGAGTCTTCTGGTCAGATTCTCAAACGGTTTTACATTGGATAAGTAAAGACCCGCGAGAGTTTAGAGTTTTTGTAGCAAATCGGTTAGATGAGATTCGCGAGAATTCAGAAATCAAAGAGTAGAGATGGGTCCCGACGAAAGATAACCCAGCAGATGACGGAACGAGAGTCGCGCCGAATGCGTTAGACAAAGGTAGCAGATGGTTAACGGGACCGCCCTTCTTGCGCGAAATAGAATCTTCATGGCCATCCAACAAAGATAAGTTTAACGGGGAATATGTAAAAACGCTTCGATCAGTCATGAATATAGAAAGAGAATTGCCTATTATTGATTTTTCTAGATTCTCCTCTTTGGATAGACTCTTATTTGTTGTATCCCGCGTATTAGAGGCCATAGATATTTGGAGGAATAGAAAGCGTACGTTAATAGAAAGAAGAGTTAATGCAGAGAAGATCTGTTACAAATTGAGTCAATCGGTTTCATTCGCGGAAGAGATAAATTGCATTAAGAAATCGAAAAGCATCCCTAAGAGCAGTAAGGTTGCTCCACTAGGCGCGTTTTTAGATATGTATCACGTTTTGCGCGCGGAAGGACGATTAAAAAATTTCATTGGACAGGACTTTGAGACTCAACCGATTATTTTAGACGCGTGTTGCGGATTTTTAGGCTTTCCGCGAGCCTCCCGGATGGACGGGGTCGGATAGCTAAGATCAGAACGCGGTTACGACACAGAACAGTTTATTAGAGCTAATTCGCTCGTTGTCAATTACAAAATGTGAAGCCGGACCGTTTCACTTTACAAGCTTCGTCAAATAAGTCGTGATCGTACGTGAGCTATGGTGGTCAAATCGTGCGTCGCAGAAACCGTGTTCTGCACGTGGCCGTTACACGAATTTGAACCACGAGTCGGTCTTCGCGTGATCTACTCACTACGCCGTGATCTCCGTGATCAATCGATCAAACGATAATACTTATCGTACGCGGGCGGTTCGACGATTCTATTAATCGTGAACTCAGTTTCCGAATAGGAAATCGCGGACTAAATTTCGACACGTCTATACTCCTCAATGATTTGTAACGGACTCATGCCGGTCTGTCGCCGACCGGCAGCTTCTTCGTTCTTCATGCTGGCGGCGCTGTCGATGCGCGACCGGAAGGGCATCGACTTTGCGAACATTCGAGATTACTCTCGAACACTAACACATTTTCATATTCATTATCATTATTGGACACACTCTACATTTCTCAGTCTCGTCTATCCATGTTTTCCCATCCCCTAGACTAATTAAGAATCTGTCTTCCATCACATAAGAATTATACATTTACCACATCCAAATCCCGTTTGATATCCGAGTCATTCACTTACCCTATTTGCAGCCGATTAATAAAAGGATCATCAGGTCTCACCAAAGATCCAGTCTGTTTCTCCATCCGCCAACATCGTCAAGGCATTCGTTCTCCCGTCGTTCGTAACATCGTCCCGTTCAGGCTTATGTTTAAATATCGATCACTTTCCT